AACCAAGCAATACTAAATTATTTTCAGGGGCAATAAAAACTAGGAATTTTGTTTCTGAGTGTTTTTTTAATCTTTAAAAGTATTTAGGTAACTAGAAAGGTACATCCCTATTCAAGGATGACAATTAAAAATTTATTTGGAATGCAACCAACCGTAGAGAATTAAAAACAAACAAACAAAAAAAAAACCCAAACCACAAATACTTTGCTAGAGATAGTGTTACCAGTATATGTTTAACCTGGAAATAAAAGCTCAGGTTTAGGAACAAGTATCAATTCTTACTATTACGTATAACCAGATAACAAAAAAGTCTTCTTACCGTAATGCAGAGTAGACTCCCAAAGATAAGAAAGAATAGTCTGGATCGTAGTACAGATAGACGGAGGACACGCAGTAGGGCAGGATATCAATTACACCGACAGCAATTATCTTCCCATCCAGCCAATACTGCTGGTGGAAAGAACCATAGCCACATTCAGGTCCATTTGGTGCATTCTCTGCCTAAACGAAAACAAAAGAGGGATGTAATTGTCTGACAGGTAGACTTCCACTATAAAAACAATTTCAGAAAGAATTTTAACAGAAAAGTAAATACTGTGAGAAATTACTCTTGCTATCCATGTTTAGTGTTTAGAAAAAGGAAAAAAGGAATTTGAGAAACAGGGAAAATAACGTTAGTTCACTGCGTCATTTGTGACTTTTGTCGTACTCATGATCAGTAAACTCTATGTATCACTCATCCCAAACACAAATCTGCAAATAGCCTCTGCCATCTAGCATTTATAGTACTGAAATGCTAAAACAACGTGATTCATCAAGTTATTAATGCATTATTACACGCAAACAAATTCTGCAGATACCCTTTAATTTGACCTACCTACTCTTCCACAAGAGACAAAGCCCAAAGGCAGAAAGGTAAACGCAGACATTTCCCAACACTGGCTGTGACTGCCTCCTTCCTCCAAGACTTTTGCCACAGCAAGGACCCTGCTGTTCCTCTCCCCCGTGCCCCAAGGACTGGAAGCACTTTGGCCACAGAAATTCAGTTTCTCAGAGTGACCATTAAAGTTGCATTGAGAAGAGCATTATGTAAAGAATTGAAGAGCATACTCTTCATGTGAGGTTTAGTCTTTATAAGGTTTACTCTTTATGACCAACGAAACATCTTTTATCTAAGAACCTGAAACTCTGTGTTGCAACAGAATCTGCGAAGCTGCTTCTTTGTCAGCCCACATCAGAGTATCTTCTGCAAAAACACTAAGGAACTCGCTATTCTTGTTCGCTGCGGTTTTGGATGTGCAGTGAAGTATGTCTCTGGATGGGGGAAAGCACCTAGAGCCAGAAACTGATGCTTCAAATTAAGAAGAAAATGATCTCCTAATTTAAACTCTATTACACAACCAACTTTGGCATGCCATTTTCTCCCACATCAAGTTTACTTTAATCCTGAATTCCACTGTGCTCAACTTAATTATCCATCTAGTCATGTTTTTCACTGCATTGCCAGATCTTCTGAAAGCTGCTTCTCACTCAATAAATCTGACAATATTGCCTACTATTACCAACTGGTTTGCATTACAACAACAGAAGGTGGGTTTAATCAAGTATTTTGATACAGTAGCACAGACTGAAGAGATGATGGGCAGTAGAAGTTATTCTAATTGGTACCACATGTGTCAAAACAACCACGTGAACAGAAATCATTTCAACTGACTTACCCAACCAATAAGTCCCAAAATAAAGGCCATATAATGTTTGCATTTTTATATGGTTATATAGCATAAACCTAGATATGGAGCTACAGATACTATAAAAGTGAAACAATCAAACATTCGAGAGCTCAATCTGCGGTATACGGGGATATTAGACTTTGGTACTAGCATATTAAACTGGGTTTCTTCTCATTCAGGTAAAGCCTACTTATTCAATAGTTATGATTTCATACAATATCCTCAACTTTTCAGTAGAGCCAAATGAAATCACATGGTCAGTAGTAAAACTTTTAATCTGGGACACAGTCAAGTAAGAGATTTTTCTCAATGGATTTCTCAGCACAGGTTAAGTTCTCCTCTCAGCTACCAAGGTGCAGTTGGTGACACTAAAAATAAAATATCTCCTGCAATCTAAGGGGAAAGGTGATCGGTAATATAACACAGACCTGCTTAAGTTTCAGTTAAAACAGATTTTCTTTCTTTGTCAAAAACTCATCATATAGAATTTCATGAATGTTAAAAAGATAGTCCCAGCCAACATACAAAAGACTTTCACTCCAACACAAAGTCTTTGGAAGTTAAATGAATGCTGTGTCTGTGTGTGACCTCAGAACTCCAAATGGCATTGCATGGGTTTGGTCACCAGACCTCTGCAAACTAAGTATTAGCATCCGTTAAGAACTTCTAGTAAAGTATAAACTACATTTATTTCTCTAATGCAATTACAATGAAATGTCATGAGCATAAAAGAGGCTATGTTCCGTAACAAACATAATAAGCACAGCACTGATTTCAGGCAAAATGTTCAGGGATCTCCATTACATTAAGCAAATAACATTTTTAAAGAGAGTAACATTCTCCTCCTCCTCAAAAAGTTCACACAATGTAATCCTTTGTAATGCTTGTAAGTATTATGTTTTCTCCAATTTCTCAATGAATACTTGGCTCCTTTAACTCACGTACCATCCAAGCAATTTGACGTGAAACAGGTCTAGAATATAAAACATTTTCCTGACGCAGGTTATACCATTTCACACTATTCCCATGTCCACATGGGACTGTGTTTGTCAAAGGTGATGTAAAACATACCAGTGACATCAGGTGAGCAAGCCCCACCAGAGAGGGCTTACCTTATCTACCCAAAATAATACACATCAGCCCTGGAATCAGTCCAGAGGGACTAACTTATTTAAAATTAACAATTTATACTCAAACTTTAATACAATGAATTACCATAAGCTGATTATATTGAAATGATGAAAAAAGAACTAATCCAGGACAAAAATTAAAATAAAGAATTTTCTCTCCAATGTTTAGACTATAATGCAGAGAAAAAGACAATATATTCCATCACATGTTCATTCTACCTGTCCTCATATTCTGCTAGCTAATGATTGCATTAACACATTTGATTGCTCATATTTTATAACGCATTATTAAAATGTAAATATTTCATAACAAGTGGTATTACATATTGCCCCAATTAGTACACCTCAATTTAATAACTGCTTTTAATTGAACTTCAATGCACATTGGTCTTTTTCTTTGAAGAGATGTTTTCCTACATTGTTATCATCATCATCATTATGGAAATTGCATTTGTTAACCCACATGCCAGACCAGCGTGCAACTGCAGAAGGCACTGCACACTCACTTACCAAAAATGGGTCCTGACTATACTAACTGCACAATTATTTTACTCAGGAAGGTTTCGCGAAATTTCCCATTTTGAACTTTTCCATTTCACCCTCTGCTGTGGATGGAGGGAGGAGGAAGATATGAAATCCATGCTATCCCTTACACAAAGAGAAAAAAAAAAAAAAAAAGCCAGGAAACCCTTGACTTCTACACTCCAGCGGAAATTATTTGCTGAATAAGTGATTAATTCCAGCAGTTCCTTTCCCAAAGGCACACAAACACACAACCTACCATAAGGTAGATTTCTATCTCTTGGTTAGCAACATATTTCCTTTTCACTACTACGTTCTCCTTTCATTAGGGATTAGCGGAGATGCTGTGAAAACAGCCTACAAATATAGGCTGTGTCAGCAGAGAGGTAGCACTGCATGTTTTCATTTAAAAAAAGCCAGCAATGCAGCCTCACAACAAAAAAGGCCAATGGGATCCTGGGCTGCGCCAGGCAGAGGCGTAAGGTATATCTGATTAAGGTATAAGGTATATCTGAGGTATGAGGAGAGCTTGGGAAAGCTGGGACTCTTCAGCCACGAGAACAGACGATGCGGGGGGAGGTTTCATCAGTACGTAGAAACACCCGATGGGAGGGAATGAAAATAGGGGAACCAGATTCTTCTCGGTAGTTGCCACGGACAGGACAAGAGGCATTGCGTGCAAACTAAAACACATGAAATTCAACTTGAACAGAAGGAAACAGGTTTTAACTGAGAAGGTGGTCAAACAATGGTGCAGGCTGGCCAGAGAGCCTGTGGAATCTCCATTCTTGGAGATATTCAAAACTCATAGTCCTGGACAACCTGCTCTAGCTGACCCTGCTCGAGCAAGGGGGTTGGACTAGGTGATCCGAAGGAGGAGATCCCTTCCTGCGATTCCATATCAAGACAAAGTAAATCAACTCACTGCATCAAAATGTAAGACACTGTCTACAGAGCTAACTTCTGTACCTTACTGGAAAAGCATAGTATTTGAGCTACACTGTCAACTATTTAATCAGGACAGTGATAGTAAGCTCAAAATGCTAAAAAGATTAGTGAAGCTGTGAAGTCACAAGGGACTTCAGTAGCAAGAGACTTCAAGTATCACCACGTAGACATAATGGTGATGTCTACATCATCGTAAGGAAATAAAGCAATTTGCCAAGGTCTCGAAATGAAATGAGTTTTGATTTAGTCCCGAGCAGTGTATCAAATGTGACTAAAATATACCTTCTACAGAAGGTGAACCTAGGAATTACAGACCTGCAACCGCATCATTATTACATCTCCTAAAAATTAACACATATCAATAAACAAAGTAAAGTGAGCAGAAGCTGAAGAGCACAGATCTAGATTCACAAATGCCTGTCAGTTCTTTTGGATTCAAAAGCATCTCAATATGGATAAAAGCAAACAAATTGAGAACAAATGATCATTTACATAATGGAAAGCAGCTCACTTTCCATCGTGCTGGATCCATTATATTCTCCACACTAGTATGTGAATCACTGAAGACTGAACAATGTTCCAGCAAACTGAGCTGATAATTGAAAAGTATTTGGGATGGTTAAACAACAGCCAAGTATAAACAGCTACAGAAAGATCCCATAATACCAAGCGATTAAAAAGGCAGAGGAACTATCAAATGTTTGTACATGCATGGGGAAAAAAATATTGCTATATACACATCTAAAACAATAGGTATAAATTAGTAATTCACTCAAAAAGATGCTTTTGAGAGCAGTTTTATGAAATCATTGATTTAATGCTTAGCATCAGTCAAAATGGAAAAAGACTGAAGAGGAATTAGAGAAGGATTTGAAAACAAAACAAAAAAAATCATCATTCGACTGCGTAACGCTATGGCGCATCCAAGTACTGAGGCTCCTTCCAACTGTTGTATCAAGACAACGTGGAACAACTCGAGGAGGACAAACACCGAGATCACTATTAATGATGCCGACACAGCCGCTGGCCCCAGAACACCCCGTAACTCACTGACCACCAAACCCAGGAATCCACCCTGAGTAGTTCCAATTTTCCTGGGTCGCCCTTCCATAAACATCCTTGCTTTGGCAGCAACGTGGTACCAGGGCACATCGGTCTTTGGTTAAGACTCCTCCACGCAGCTCTCCCATCTGACCCGTTATAATGTCTGACCCGTTATAACCGCACCTCTCCAAACAAGGTCATATTTGCACATGTGAAGTAGTAAAATGGCAAAGGTTTATATGCAGCTTCTAAGACGAAAGGATGAATAAAAAACCCCAAACAGTTCTTTCTACATTATCCTGTTTACTGACAGAAAACTGCCTAGTTTTCTGCTACTACAGACAGTATAATTTTTTAAACTATTCATTTTTTGTGCCAGAGTCCATAGCCAAAACTGAAACTAAACAGAATAATAAAATGAGGAAATAAAAAAAGGACAGGAAGAGTTTGGGCATTCATGCTACTTGCAGCTAATACCAATATTAAAAACTCAAAAAATTACAAATTGAAATCATGTAAGGTTTAAATTTGATTTTAAGTTATTTTTGTTCAAAAGAATAAACAGACGACATACTACTAGATTTGCTTGTGGCAACTGTTTCAGAATAAAGAATTTCAAGAATCCCTTGGCCTCTGATATACAACCTCTTTTATTTAACTTCATCTAATTGAAGACATCTGTAGTGGTGCCACACAAAATTTAATTCAAGCTTCGAAATGTCAATAAAAAGTGTCTGTAAGAAACAATACTGGTATAAACCTGGCAGGGAAGCGTGCATCAACATCTACGTAGCCATACAAAATTAAGAATATAATGGCAGTCTGCTGCCTGAGTTGACGAGGTGATAAAAGCCCTTTTCCTATAAAGTCTAATGAGCTCTATTACTCTTCAGCTTTCAGGAATGTAAAAGGCCAGTGGACTCAGCAGAGAAAAGCAACAAACTCTCCACACATGGATTCATTCAAACTGCGACATATCAAATTACTGGCGTAATTACTATAACCTGACAATTTCATTACAGTCACGCAGTACTTAACTCTTTAAGACTAACAAGGAAGACAGTGCAAGAAATCTCCAGCAGTTTCCTTACTTGAAATGAAGCAACAGCATCTCTCCTAAACTTTTAACTCAGATTATAATCAAATACCAGTTCAGTAAGTTATTTAGTAATACATCTTTTTCTGTCATAGCAATAAAGCAAGAACAGAAGAGACACAGCGCTTTCTGCAACTGTTTCTTAATGCAGTGATGCGAAATTCAGTGGTAGCTTATTATCTGGCAAAGGAGTCCTCAGATTCCTTTGAAAACATGCTGCTATCCTCCTTACCAGTCAATGATACAAATATTGTGACACCCATCTATACCACCTATACTTTAATAGTTTGCTGTCTACAGAGAGTGAAGAGGCAAGAATACATTCATTTCAAAACCTGCATCTAGATCGAATACATACCTCCAGAGGAGAATCACAGAGGAATCGCGTGAACTGAATCCAGATACGTTCATTGGAAATACATGCCCAAGAAGACAGTCCAAATATGCAAAGGAGAAAAACAAGAAAAATATTAGCAACACTTCAGGATACATTAACAGCCAGACAAGTATACTCTTTCAAAACCATGTATTTGAAAAACATCAGATTTTAAAGAGTTAAAACTGAATTTCTATAAACCATCTCCCACTTTCTATTTTGTTTAGATAAAATAGATACAAATACAAATAGATATAAATAGATGTAACAGTTAACCATCCAAAGTACGTACTTTCTATAAAATAGAAGACAACTTTTAAAAAATGTGATGCAAGAGAATTATCACCTTGTAATACAGGTCTGCTTCTGGTGTCTTTAATTCTACATTACACATGACCCTTCTCTCTTCCCTTGGTATCTGCAAGGGAGCTAGGGCCCTCATATCTCTTAATATAAATTAAGTCCATTTACATTCAAAATCATAAGTAAGCCTGTTTTAAGTCTAAAGAAGAGGAAGAAGAAAAAAAAAGTCAACTTCCTGAAAGTGCAAGCATTTTCAAAACTCAGTGCTTTACTCAATAGAAAATGATGGGCTGCAGATAATCAATCAAAAAGGCAAAGCGTTAACGATCTGGAGCCTGTTCAAGATTCTAAGAGTAATAAAACATAATATTTATTTACCATCATTTACTTATTGGATACAAACACTTCCTTTTTGGTGGATTCCACATTAAACACGTTACTAAGTTCTGGTACGTATTTAAGCCCAAAATATTCCTTTGTTAAAAAGTATGTATTACATGGTTTAATTCCCCCTCTTGTAATAGCTGGGTGATTTGGTAAGTCAGCACATCGCAAACTGCAAAGTAATAGTAAATAGGAACTTTTAATTAAAAGTTTGATAAAAAGAATATATAGACACCTATTAAAAAAACCTGATTGTTGTCAAGACTTTTTTTTGTCAAGAATTCTACGGATTTCTGAGCTTAATTGAAGAAGATTATACTATTTAAAGGGGAATACAAAAAAATGGGATGATTATTTGTCAGTCATCCCATTTTTCCCAGAGAAGGTGAAGAGAGGCAGGCAGGAACAATAAAAAGCACTGCTACTGTCAGTTGCTGACTTAGGACGGAGTTCCATATACAGCCTAAGTAATTAAAGCTTTCTCTTTTCTTCAGAAAGTGCTATAAAGCAGATTTTAGAAATAAAAAAAACACAGCCCCTGGTAGAGATATATATAGATATATGTATATCTTGATCTGCAAACATTAACTGGACCATTCTCATTGTAGCTCAAAGTGAACACAACCTGAACCTTCTCTAAGACTTATGTCTCCAACAAAGTGCATCTGTTGATGCAAAAAGAACCAAGAGTTTGCAACCATCATATTTCAGACTTTTCCCCCTCAAACACATAGAAGTAGGTGATCTATGGAGGAACAGCAAACCTTTGGACACAGTCTTTATGGAAGAACACTGAATTTCTATAAGCTACTGGTGAAGACAGGGGATTGTGCATTGCCTATAATTCATCATACCAGATCTAGTCACTACTACTCTAAATTACTCAGAGTTTGGAAAAAACAAATGACTGCAATATCTTAATTAAATTCTAGAATTTTTTTTTTTATTTGGTGGATAGAGAGAGAGAACAAGGAGGGGAGGGAATATCACATAATACTTAAAGAGGAAAAAAATATCAAAATTTGAATTCTTAAGTTATGTTCCCATGAAAAAAAAAGAACAGAGTTACAAATTCCAACACTGCGCATACATCAGTCCTTACAGCCAGTGATTTTAGAATGTGCAGGCTTCAGAAAAAATAAACCATGTGTTATTCATTTTCATGTCAGAAGACCCCCAGTAGTTCTTAATCTGTAACTTTAGCTTTATAGTGCAAGTTAAACCCTATGGGTGAGAAAACTGAGCCAATGACACTTTTCAAATAGTTTTATCCAGTCTCCAGGCTCTGCCGTAGAATGCCTTGGCTTTGGGGATGAGGGGGGACTTTTTCACTGTACCTGAGCATAACTGCTACTTGCTAAGGAGTATATACCGTTACAACTACCTATACTGCTGGTGACAAAAAAAATTCTTAACTGCATTTGACTTTGTATCACAATCTTATGGGGAACAAACCATTGCAAGTCTTGTTACGTATTATTTCACCTGCTGATGCAGGTGACAATTTTCTTAATTAAGACAATTTCTTCTTAGACAATTTTCTTAATCAAGTCCTAGAAAACTTCAGAAGACTGAATCTTCTCTAGAAGTCAATTAAGAAACAAATACCCAAAAAACCAACAATTTTTTGTCACTCTCCCCTTCTACCCCTAAATCTGCAGCACTTTCATCATAACCCAGGAATATACCTAGTTACACGTTTATTTAAACTAAACATAAGGTTCAGTTTCTAAATTAAAATACTGCAAGATTATTATGAATACAATTCAAAAATGATTCAAACCATGAAAGAAGTACAGTCAAAAGCTGGTATTGCATGCAAAAATAACTCAATCCATCACACAAGCACAATTAAAATTCCTTTCACGAAGTCATCCTTTTCTAATTTTAATTTCAAACTGAATTACATAAACTTCAGTCTTTTAAAAACTATATATCTGAAATCCACAACATTTGTACTTTGGTGAAAACTAATTACAATTGCCAGAAAGAACTAATAGAACAAAATAAGTTCAACTATAATTAATAAAACTAAGAGAGGAACACATCGCTGAGAATTAAATCAAAGGGTGAAAAAAGGCAGAAAAATAAAAGGAAGGTTTGGTTCAGCCCAAAGCTCCTTGCTTGAGCAAAAGTTTTTTACAGCTGTGCTAAAACTAGAGTGCTCACACCTGCTTCCTTTTACAGGCGGGGGAAGATCTTCAGATGCTTTGGATGCTAAACCAGAATGGGTTTCACACAGTAGCTCAGTGACTTTCTGAAAGCAAGGATTACTGATGTCACACAATGACATCATAGCCTTCTCAGGAAAAAACAGCTTTGAGCTGTCATCACCGCTAACTGTAGAATTATCTGAGACCTTCAGTGCAAAGACATCCCAGAAAGGCATTAATTTATAATTTTCCTTTTGACAGTATTAAGAGTTTGCTCACATTTGCAATTCACTGTCAAGGAAAACAGAGTATTTGCCCTTTTCCTTTGAATAAAGGAGGGGTGAGGAATGGATATGAGGTTTGGGGATTTTATAAAAACTGACATTGTGAGTTTCCACACAGAAGACAAGTCGTACACTGGACCTGTAGATCGTAACACCTTTATATATATCAAGCAAGCTTACAAGCCATGAAGAGACAGCATTCTTTCTAGAGAGCCCCTGGCATCTTCAGTTGTAGAGTGAGAAAAGTAAAAAATAAACAATAAAAAAAACCAGTCAAACTTTCAGTAAGGCTAGAAGCAGCTGTTAAATGAAAAACAAAAGCCAATAAAAAAGAAACTATCTAGGAAAACAGATTGAAATTAAGCTGGAAAATTAAAATTCTGTAACTTTCTGTAAAAATTGGGAAAATGGGACAAAATGTAGCATGTTTACAGGGAAAGATGGTGCCAACCTATCCTGCTATCCTTGAAGCAGGCAATACTCTAGAGCTAAGTTAGCAGAGCAACCAAAGACTTACTCTGGGGCTGGCTCTATTTAGAATTTTCAACAGTGACTTACAAAAATATAGGAATGGTAACAAAACATAGTTTCAGAGATATCCACAGACCCGAAGGTAAAGAAAGAGCCTTCAAAACATAATGCATAAGGAAAGATGGGATTTAAAGTGTAAATGCATGTCTCAAATGTAGTTTTCAGTACAAGAACCGAACTAATGAAATAGAAATAGTTGCTGATGGAACAGCACATACATTTCAGAATTACAACTTCAATTCCCTTCTGGAGCGACAAAAGTCACTGTGGCTTTGTCTGCTCAAAGGAAACTTACTCTCAAAATAACCAAGATTTGACAGTCTTAAAGTTTTTTTAATTTTATACAGATTTACATAGAAAATTCAGTATCAAAATCAGGAAGAACAATGTAAACTGTGATGCAAAAAGAATCTGAACTGAAACTATACGGCTATGAACAAGTTACTTAATTGCCCAGGTGCCAAAGTCATCATTAGGCTCTTATAGGCATTCCAAGAATAAAAATCCATGAATCCACGGCACTACAGTCACGGGGGCCACACGAGTAAGCAGAAGCAATCAGGCTGATATGAAAGTACTCGTTCCACGTCTTTACATTAACAATATCGGAGATCTGAAACCCAAACTCATTTAAGGGACATTGTGCTGCAGCAGCACCTGACCACGAAGAGCCAAACGTCGGATCAGCGCTGCCATCAACCAAAATGATAAAAGAACTAATTCAAGAGCATTATAAAAACATATGGTTGCCAAGTTGAGCTACAGAGGTTAAAAATAACCACAAAGGCTATTGATTTTTTAAGTGTTCCCTCACTAGAAAATAAAGAAAGAAAGAGGAAACTAGGTTAGAGAGACCTAAAAGTTTGCAGCTGGCTGCTGATACCAGCTTTCGAATTGATCAGAACATGCTCCTCGGCATTTCCCAGGCTACTCAATCAGTTTTCTGTATTAGTTCAAGTGGATTTCTGGGAGGCAATTAAAAAAAACTGGGAAAGGGAAAAAAAAAACCCACTACACCTATTTCAGTAATTTTTTGCACCTTTTCAAACAGTGTATCTTTTGTGTGTTGTGAAATTCTTTTCTTCCAAGACAAATATTTAGTTAAGCACAAAGCAAAGAGAGTGTCCAGCTAGCTTTGCAGAGGGAACGGAGACACATACTATTTTTCTACAAGTTTGTCATTATAAAACTCTCATGAAAAGTTAAATAAAACGTTTGCTTCAGAAGGTCTAAACAGCAATAAACTGTTCACTCTTGCTCTTTCTGGAAACTACTGTAGAATTTTTATGATCTTTTATGGAAATGTTTTCTAACTTCTGTAGCTGCCACAAAGCTTGTTTCAGTTACACTTCAGCTGTGT